TTTTGCAATTTCAGAGCTAGCCTGTTCAGTTCGATGGTGTAAATACCTGGTAATCGAGTATCAATGAAATCTTGGAAGGCCAGTTTTACAGCACTGGCAGAATTACATTGTTTTTCGGCAAAAGTATTTTATGTAGTGCACCTCATATACCCCTAGTCCCAGCATTTTGTCGTACGGAAACGGTGTTATAGGGTTTTAGGGGGTGGGGAACTAGGATAGGCAGGGAAGGAAATTTTTAGAAGGAAGTGTAAAGTGAAAAATGTATTTGAGATTTTTTCCCGCGGCCGCTAGGAGGAAGTTGTTCCGCATGTAAATGTAAGGTGTGCGCGGCGCATCGCGCCGCGGGCTATACTAATCTAACGCTAAAACGGTAAGTTGGAGTTCAGGTAAGTTGAAGTAGACGACCTCCTAACCATCATTTATATTTTGCAGGAATTTCAAGAAACCTGCAATTTGATAATAGTTTTTTCTGCAATACGTTAAACGATAATACAGATTGGGAAAATCTACAGATATAAATCAACAGCACTTCTTAATACAATAAAACAAAAATGCATATAGCAGTTATGAAAGTATATTCCACTGCCCATCTTAACTCCCCATCCATAGAACCCTAGAACCATCGTTTTCCTAGGACAAATTCTGAAAAAAGGGATTAATGAGGTGCACTACATAAACTACTGTTGCCTGTTTTTCCTTCGAAATGTTACCCAAATTCCGGAAGAAGTGGTAATAAGTTGAGGACAAGATCTGGTGAGTATGGTGGATGATGGAGAACTTCCAGCTTGAACTCCTGCAGTTTTGTTATTGTCACTTGTGTTGTCTATGGTCGAGTGTTGTCACACAACAGAATAAGAATCGATCAATTTGTGGATCATTTGGTATAACTGTTAACAATATAAATCTGCCCAAATCAATGAGTTGGGTTTCATGATATCATAATGGGTCACACCTGTACCAGGCCAGTAAACACTCACCATCAACTTTCTTTAATGAATATTGCGCTTTAGGTTGTGTTTCGGTAGCTTTTCCTTGACCAACCGTAGCGCTGAACGTTTACGGTTATCGTACTGGGTCCATTTTTTCTCACATGTCACAATTCAATTCAAAAAGTAATAATTATTTTGACGAGAGAGCAAAATCATGCATGCTTCTAAACCTTGTTGCTTTTTCAATGTATTTTGTTCACATGGAAACCACATATCTAACTCTGTCATTTTGCCGATTTCAGTTAGGTGAGTTAATACTGCCTGCTCGCGAACAACAAACTCCACCGATGGTGCATGTGCACTTTGAAATGGACCTGACTTGACGGCGATTTTCAGCTCTTCCCTATTCACCTCTGATTCTGGCTGACCAAGTGGCTCATGTCTGAAGTCAAACTTATCAGAAAGAAATTTTGCAAACAAATCGGATACTTTTTGCTGTATGCTGTGATGCAGCCTTTCCAGGTAAAAGACTCATACTTCATAATGTCACGCATTTGCGACTTTATCCATCTTTAAACACGAATAGCAAAAAAAGCTTTTTAACATTTTAAAAGCAAAACTGATTTAAAAGGGGACATATGTGTGGCATTTTCAAGCAAGAACAAGAGGATATCAGAACATAATGCGAAGGGGAAATAAGGAGCTTCTAAATTTGACCATATTCCTCACCAAACATTTAATACTTGACGAACCAATGCACAAATTCACGAAAGGTAGCAAGGGAATTCACTAAGTTTCGTTCTTGACATTTGTTCGCCGTAGGCGACAGGGTGAAACCCAATGGCCATTTTCCGCGAACCAAAGGTACGGTTCCTTAATTTTCTGCGGAGTGATCCTATTTTCCTGTAAATCGTGCAACTGAACCCCGTATAACTCAGCGTATTTGATGTGACCTGCCTTCCTTATTTTCTCACGCATTTTGTATAGCTCACCAGAAGAACCTACTTGTAAATTGGCCAAGTAACAGGTCTTTATGCGGTCGATAAAAATATTTTACTAATACATCCTACTGAAATAATTTGCGTAGCGTGTATATTAAGCATTTTGTTCCTGTATGAGCTTCACACTTACGCAAGCAGTGAAATCTTGAAACAAAAGAATGCCTCGCCGCCCAATGGACTTCTTTCTGTCGTTCTAAAATTTGGATGGCGAAAAGAGCGTATAGGACAACTAAAATGTCTGCTGAAAAGCGCACGAAAGGAAAAAATTACACAGTTTTAATGCAATTCAATCCAGAAAAAGAATGACTCGAAATGCGGTAAAGTAAAAGGAAACGGTTACGTAGATCAGGGCGTGAAAATCAAATTCAAGTTCAGGTTTATCCTATGTCCTAGTTGTTTATATAGACCTGGTCTTTTTACCCGTACGCAGACTTCCCTCAGGTAACGCAGTACCGGGTAGTGTGTGCAGAAACATGTTTCCAGAAGGCTGATTTAGATCAGCAGAGCAAATTTTATTGCACTGTTTGGAAGATGTGCGAAATCGCGCATTCGTAAAAAAATGTAATATACAAAATTGGGGGTTCCAATTAGCTCGCAAACGAACCATCAAATCAGGATGAGTGCATCCTGAAACAGATCGGTGTACAATTAGCCACTACCGATGTGTATTATAGTTGTTATGTTATCGA